GGGGGGGGGCTGGGGCTGGAGAGCAGCAGGGACTGCACCGCAGGGAGGGTGCCTGCTGCCCACAAGAGCCTGCACACGAGGGTGGAGAAAGCGGGAGAGCGACCCCTCCCAGCCTTTGTGTCTTCCTTGTAGGGCTGGGTTTTGTTTTTCGTGTGTTTTTTTTAATCCAGCCACTCTGGTCCCATCCGGGGCCTCCTGCCTCCTCCCGCCTCCTCCCGGTGGCTGTCACACGGCAGACATTTTTAGTGGTGACAGCTGGCCCTGTGGAACTCGGCTCGAGTGCGGGAAGGTTTTTAAAAAGAGAGGGAGCCAAACCGCCGCCACTTTAAATAGCAGCGCGGCATGGAGAGGCGGGAGGGAGCGTGCGCTGGAGCCTGGCCGGCCTCCGTGCTCAGGCTCCATGCGATGCGGGGAGGCCCAAGCCGCGAGGACCGCCGAGCTCAGTGGTCCCAGCTCCACATCTGACCGAGGGAGGCCCTGAGGTCCAGAGAGAGCAGATGTCACACCTTCATCTTCTCCAGGATCACGTGTGACACATCGAGAAACATGCTTATTTTTACGTGAGAAAAGCTCCAGTTAACAATAATATCTACGCATTCATGGGATTACTTACTACATGCCGGACGCTAACGTAAGCATTTTCACATACAGAATATATTTTTAAAATGTATGATCGCATTTAATGGGCCCAACAATCCTGGGCCGTGGGCGCTATTACTGTACACGTGCACTGGTCTGCTCTGGCCCCAGTACTGCTTGCTAACAAACAACCTCACCAATCAAGCGAATTGCCACCTTTCTCTTCCTCTCCTGCAGGTCAGCTGGGGTGCTGCTCCTGCATTCTGTGGGTCGCCTCAATGTAGCTTCAAGCCACGGTTCCGATCCAGGTGGGCTCCACAGGCGTCTCCTGCTGGAACCATGGGCTCCTGGGACCTGTTTGTTCTGGAGCACGTGGCGGGGGCTCAAGCAGCCAAGTCAAAAGCCCAACCAAACGGCAAGCCGAGGCTTTGATCAAGTCCGTTCGGATCAGACTGGCCAAAGCGGGTCCCTGGCCAAGCCCACACTCCGTGGGCTGGGAGCGCCCTCTCCCCACTGCAGTGGGAGACCCCGCAAAGTCCCCCAGCAAAGGATAGGGATGCATCTGTAACCCACCACAGGAGGGAAGGAAAACGGGAGAGTAAGGCCCCCTCTGCCCCCAGCGTTGTCACAGGTGAGAATTGGAGCCTCGCACAGGCATGGCTGCGGCCCACGGTCCCTGCTGGGATTCCGACCCAGGCTGTCTGACATCACAACTGCTCTGCCCTGCCCTGGCCGGTTCCGCTCAGTGTATAGCCTGTGGACCAAAGGGTCCCAGGTTCAATTCCAGTCAAGGGTGCATGCCCGGGTTGTGGGCTCGATCCCCAGTAGGGGGCGTGCAGGAGGCAGCCGATCAATGATTCTCTCTCATCATTGATGTTTCTCTTTCTCTCTCTCTCTCTCCCCCCCCTCCCTTCCTCTCTGAAATCAACAAAAATATAATTTTTTTAAAAAAAACTGCTGTCTCCACAGGTTGTCAGGCAAGTACCTGATACATAATAGGTGCTCAATTAATTATCAGTTCGTTGTTAAAGCGTACACTTTAAATAGGCTCACGTTATTGCATATCAATTATACGCAATGAAACCATTAAATTGTGTTTAAAAAGAAACTTTCAAGAAAAAAATAATCCATCGCTGAATGAAATGCTAGTCCCTACGCAGGGGCCTGTGAGGACCATCAGCGACGGGCGGGAGCTCAGCACTCAGGTGGGAACAGGAGGGCTCCAGGACCTCCACAGGGACTGGCCGTGGACGGGGAGGTCGGGCCCACGTGTGAGGCTGCGGAGAGGCCAGGGCGAGAGCCAGCAGGGTGGCCGCCCTGAGCGGCCGGAGGTAGGGACAGAGGCAGGCCCACCGCTTGCTGGGACCTGTGCCAACCCCGGCCACTCACTGAGGCTGAGAGAGGAGCACGCCCCTCAGCGATCGCCCGGGGCTACGGGGTCGGGGGAGGGCCAGGCTGCGGCCCAAGGTCAGTCCCGATGTGAAGGCTGCCCTTTCACCTCTCGCGCTGCAGAAGTGACCAGTGGGAAGCACGGAGCTTCTAGCCCTTGCCCAGCGGAGCCCTTCCAACCCTCCGCTTTGTGACCCAGAATCCAGGCTGCACGTTGCCTCAGAACCTCAGCCTCCTCCCGGGTCAAGGAAAAGGTGAGCGGGAAGGTGGTGGGTAGGGGGACAGGGTGACCACTGTCCTACCTGCCCCGGTCCCTGGGCCGCCTGGTGCCCAAGCAGAGAGGAGGCGCCACTGGCAGATGAGGCAGGAGGGACACACGGGCTGTCCGCTCCTCACAGCCCTCGAATCACCGCGTCCAGAAAATCCTGGGCCGCAGCCGCCGGCCTCCCAGCAGGAGAGCGCGGAGGGAAACGCACGGTGAGAAGCCCTTGTCCCCAAACAGGAACCCGAACCCCGACCGGCCCCAGACCCCAGGCTGACTTACAGGGAACACAGGGAGCGGAGAGCAGCCCAGAGCCCGCGGGGCAGGGGGCGCAACCCGGCCCGAGCGCGGCTCTCCGGACCAACGCAGGCACAGACACGGGGCGGGGAAACAGCTCCGGCCTGGGCTACTGGAGAGGAGATTTCCAACACATCAGCTTCGGATCCTGACTCCAGTGGGAATAATCACATGTGAGCGTGTACTGTGTCTATTTTATATGATAGGAACCATGTTAAATACACAAACATAATTATATATTAAACATCGAGCACATGAATGCACTAATTACATTAAATAAAACGATAATAGAGCTATGTATTAGAGCTGTGTTATATTTATATTACTAGAGCTATATGTTATGTTTATGTGGTGTACTTATAAACTGAGACCACTGGAAATCTGGTGACACCTATGTGTTTTAAGTATGTCATTATGTGTGAAATACACGTATGTATATATTACCCTCTGAGACATGACTGGATGGCTTGGGTTTGTATGTGGCATGACTTGGTGTTACGTCTTGAAATACCCATCGTTTCCAGCGCTGCAGGCTGGAGGCTTCCAGGTGAGACAATATGATGCCTGGGTCTGCTTCCCGTAGGCAGGGAGGGAAGGGGTGGAGACGGCGGTGAAAGGAGACCGGTCGTGAGTGACCATGGGTCCTGCGGGGTGATGGACGCACGGGGATCGTTATACCGTTCTCTCCGCTTTTGCTAAGTGTTTGAACATTTCCGCCATGAGAAGTTAAAACTAAATAACTCCCATAATAGAAAAACGTAAAGGTTTTTTTGGTAAAACGCACACCGCAGAATCGGCCCCCCAGCGCGTCCAGGTGGCAGCTCCGCGCAGTGAGGGCACCGACACCGCCCCGAACGCCGTCGCCACGCCCGCCACCCCGCTTCATCCTGCAGAACTGAAACTCTGTCCCCATGAAACACTCACCCCACTCTCCCTCCCCAGCCCCGGCACCCGCATCCTCCTTTCTGTAGCTGGGGATCTGACCACATTAGGGACCGCGCATGGTTGGAACCTTCTAGCATTTATCCTCTGTGTGTGGCTTATTTCACTGAGTGTCATGTCCTCGGGGTCCATCCATGGGTAACGTGTCAGCATGTCCCTTTTCGCTGCTTGCGTCACATTCCGTTGTGAGGGCGGACTACATGGCTCACCCATCACCCGTCAACGGACACCTGGCTGCTCCCACATGCTGACTATTGTGAGTGGTGCTGCCGTGGCCATGAGTGGACACATTGCCGGTGGCTTTAAAATTTCTCTAAGATCATCATGGTGGCCATCCCTTCCAAACCAGAGTGTGTGCAGCCAGATGGTCCCCGGACACCCCTCGCCTAGGACCCAGCCCCCCGCCTGGGTGGTATGCATGAGGCGCTGTCCCAGGAGGAGATGCCAACCTGGGGCTTCTTATACCATCCTCTCGGAGACCATTAGGGGGTGACCTGTCCCGCCCACCCCCACTGGGCAGCTCTTCCAGCCACACCCGACTCCCATGAGGACGCCTGGCCCCTCCAGCTCCGACTGCCCTCACCCTGGAGGGAGGTCTCCCTCCAGCACGAGGGGAGGGCACCGCATCCCACAGCGTGCACTTGAGGGGCACTGAGTCATTTAGTGATAAACTCCAAAGCACCTGACCCATATGGTTCAATTGGTTGGAGCGTCGGCCCATACACCAGAAGGTGGGGGGCGGGGGGGAGTTCGATTCCCGGTCAAGGGCACGGACCTGGGTTGCAAGTTCCATCCCCGGTCAGGGCACGTGCAGGAGGCACCCAATCGATGTTTCTCTCTCTCTTCCTTCCTCCCAGTCATGATAGTAACAAAAACAATAATGGCCTCGATTGAACATATGCCCTCCTTGTGCAACCCTGGGAGGCAGCCGGCATTGCAACTGCTTTACAGACAAGGAGCCGGGGACCAGAGAAGAGACGCCCCCGGCCCAGCGTCCTGCAGTGAGAGCCGAGCGGGCCTGGCAGGTCCTGAGCTGTGTCCCCGACACTTCGCTGCTGCCTTCCGCTCCAGGCGTGGTCTCCACATTCAGCTGCCCGCACCGCGGCCTCAGGGCTGCTCCAAACCTGCGTCCCTGGCCCCTCCTGGGCCCCGCTGCCGGGGCTCTCAGAGCTGCAGGGGCCAGGTCTACGTTCACCAGCCCGGGAGGCCCCGACGCAGCCAGACAGCGGCATTGGGGAAGCCATGTGGTTTCCATGGTATCAGCCCCAAATCCCACCAAAGGTGTGAGCATTCAGGCCCCACTGGGGAAGGGCCTCTGCGGGGCAGGCCCCCGGGTCCCCCCTCCCCGGGGTCCCGCACACCACACCGCGTTTACTGAGCTATTCAGGCCCCCTCCATTTCAGCACAAACATGCAGCTCCCACCAGAAGCGGGGGGGCGGTCAAAGACCAACATTTTCTATGTGTCCCAGTCTCTCCTCAGATTCGAGGCCCCCACGCCATGAGAGACATTTCTCCTGCCCCCAGCTTGCACTTTTGAAGGGGTAAATGATTGGCTTCCTATTTTTTATTAATCAAAGACACACCACAGCCAGCCAGGCCTCTGGTCTGGGGACGAGGCCACACGAGATGCCGTCCTCACACAGAGCACAGACCGCCGCTCCGACGGGGCACCGAGGATTCATCCCCGATGGCTCTCTGCCCCGAAGGCCAGGGGCCCGCGGTGCCAGGTAGAGCGCCCAGGTCCGGGCAGAGGGGATGGAGAACAGGCCAAGAGCAACCTGTCAAGGTTCCCATGGAAGCAGAGCCCAGGCGCCCTCGGCACTGAGGCCCGGGCCTCCGCCTCTCCCTTCAGACATGACCGGAGTCCGGGAGCATGTCCCCTGGGTCTGCGGGACCGCCAGGGCCAGAGGAGGGAACGCCAGAGCCGTGACCCTACCAGGGCTCGTTTTCACGAGCAGAGCTCCAAACAATCCGCCACTCCCGCCCACAGGCCACCTCCTGGGGACCCCCAACATCTGGCTGAGTCCTTCCTGTTTCTGCCACATCTGGGTGGGGGAAGGTGTGAAAATGACCCTCCCCCACTTTCCAGGGCTGGTCCCTGACAGTTGAAGAGTCTGAGGGGGAAAGGGCTGCTCGGGGATCTCACACAGAAGCTCAATGGGAAGACATCTGCTGCCTCTCAGTTTCCCTCCCAGTAGCTAGGGTCCTGTGCCTTCCCCCACCCCCACTTCCTGCCTGACTCTGGGACAGCCCCTGCCCCCAGGGAGCAGCCAGGACCTGGAAAGAGGGTGCCTGGGCTCTGCCACTGACCCCTGGTCAAGCTCGGGCCAACCATCCTGCCTGAGAAACCGTCATCCAGTCATTCCAGATCCAATGGACTGTGGTCCCAGGTCACTCAACTGCTGGGACTGGGCTCACCAGCTCTCTCACATGCCCCTTTCCCCGCTGCTCTCTGCCCTCCAGCCTCCGCCCTTTGGCTTCTCCAAAAGCCCCAACTCCCCTCTGGCCCCAGAGCCCTCCCTTGTGCGGTTCCTCCGCAGGGGACACCCTCCCTTGCTCCTGACCTGGCCACCCCAGGTCCCATCTGCCTGTCATGGTCCGGGACCTCATTCAGACCCCTGTGCCGCCCCCCCTGGACTCGGTGGGGGTCATCTGATGTGCTATTAACAGTTGCATGTCTCACGCCCTCCCTGACTGTCACTGCTGTACCCCAAAGCCCCAAAGGGCCAGACACACAGTTGACAATCACGAAGCAGGAAGAGTTTCAGGGAGATCTTGGGTTTTAAAGCAGGAATCAGACGTCCGGGGGGCTGACGTTTGTGAGGAGGGGGCGGGGGGTCACCCTTAAGGGGCTCCCAGGAGAACGCTAAGGGGCTGTCCAGGGATCCCACCCCCCAACCACAAGCTCGGGCGGGCAACAAGCTGCCCAGCTGCTCTGCACACACCCGGCTGGGGCAGTTACCTAAACTACAACTCCCATCATGCAACACTCCGTGGCACCACCCCTCACTGCCTTCTGGGGATTGTAGTTCTCACAGGGGTACGGCCTGAAGACTAGGGAGTCTGGGCTTCTCTAGGGGGAATCGGGAGCCTCTGCAGCCAGCTAGTGGGAGGGCTGAGGGCGCTGGCTGCCTGCTGCCTGGCTCGGGCTCCTTTCCCCCAGCAGCCGTCTCTCCAGCTCATTCTCCCCCATCCCCATCCTCATCCCCATCACCACCATCATTACAACAGCTACTCTGTTGGCTGAGCACCTACTCTGTGCCAGGCCCTGAACTAATCGCTCGGAGGACAGAGACAAGACGGACATGGTCCCCGTCTTTGCTGGCACACAGTCCGGGCAGGGAGACAGGCCTGGGACCTTTAACGGCGCAAACGCGTAATTACTTGTGCCGGGTCCAAAGCGGGGCAGCCTGCATTCTCACCGCAGCAGCGAGAGGGAAGGTGATGGTGACGATTTCTGAGCCACAGACGACACACACAGAGAGCCGACCACGGGCCGGAATCTCTGAAATTCTCAGGGTGAATGTGATGGGTGTGATGGGGAAATCCAGAGCCATCCTGCCAACTCCCTCATCATCTCCGAGAAATTAGCCCAGGCAGAGAGGGGCCTTGCCCGAAGTCACCCCGCAGGTCAGGAGAAGCGGGTCCAAGGAGGCAGCCCCCCACTTTAAACCCCCCAAGGACAGGGCCTGGGCCTGTGCATTTTCCAGAGGCCTCTCCACCACACACACACCCTCACCGAGCCTCGCACACGGGGGTGTGAGGAAGAGCTCCAGGGGCAACAGCTCCCAGTGGTGTCCTCCCTCGATGGCGGGGCCAGCCCCTCCGGTCAGGCGCTCACCTCCTGAGCCTGTCTCCCGTCAATGGAAGGACACCCTCCATGCGGGGTAGTTTCAGCAGAGAAACCGAAGTGATGGCTGTGAGCCCGGCACCTACAGCAGGAGGCCAGTGGGCACTTTCCCTCCTGTGCCCTCCTGTGCAGGGAGGGAGGGAGGCGAAGGAGAGAGGTAGGCGGGTCCCAAGCAGGGCAGCCTGCACTCTAATCGCAGGGGCTAGAGGGAAGGTGATGGTGACGATTTTGAGCCAAAGGCCTTCTCTGAGGAGTTAGAGTTTAATCGGAGCCCCGGGGGCTCCCCAGCCGGTGCCCACGGAGAACGTGCGTCCCCTCGGAGAGCATCACGGGGCTCAGCTCAAACAGCAGCACCTCA